GTGATATGAAATAATCTTTTATTGAATAAAAACTGTTGTTTTATAGCTTACAAAGAGTAAGTGGTATTATTTCTTCCAACCCTTTACAGAACCCAGTGCTCTGAATTTGAGCTTTCTTTTCTCATGAAGTGTTGCAAGAATTAGTTACTTCCCTCAAAACTTGGTGAACTAAAGAAGATGTGTATTTCTCTTTAAATAAGACAATAGTATGCCTCAAGCATGAATTTTAGAGACTATTTCCTATCATAGAATGTTAAAATAGTAGCAGAGGTGATAACCTCAGTATAAGGAAAATAAGTACTGCAAATTGTGACAAAGGGTGAGCATGGCATACACACACACACACACAACACACACACACACACACACACACACACACACACACACACACACACACACACACACACACACACACACACACACACACACACACACACACACCTTTTTGTAAGGCATTGGGATTTGGGCTTTAAGTTATGAGGAGGACAAGTGTAAAGCCAGTTTTGAGTCATAGGAGCTTGGGTGGATTGCTCTTCAGCTCTTATTTCTTTATCAATAAAATAGAAATAATAGTTTACTTCCCTCAAAAGGGTAGTTGTTAGGCTTGTGTTTATTTTTTAGCAACCACATAACACTGCCTAGGCATCGTTAATTTCATAAACTTACTCTCAAAATAACTTTGTTCCTTTTCCAATCCAGTGTAGACGTTTTTACCTTTAAAGTCCGTTTTCTGCTTCTACATCTGTAAGAAGTTATTTTGAATGGTGATGCCAAAGAAAAGTTGTTAAATCCTAACTGAAAGAGGATTGGAAGTTCTGATTCATGCAGTCTGACAATGCAGCTAAGTTAACTGGACAGACCTACAGAAGCTTGCTGGGGCCTTGTCAACAAATGGATTAGCTTGACCAGCTGCTGTTTTGTCTGTGAAAATGACTTGACTTCAGTGTTTTGTTCGCAACAGATGCTCTGTTTGAGTAGAGGACGGAAGTGTAATTGCCTTGGGTTTGTAAGGCATACTGCTGTGTACAGAAAACCACAGTATTATCTCCTAAAAAAAAACAGAGGTATTTTGTTTATATTGTGTTTCTGGGGCACTTTTGTGAACAGGATGTGTGATGGATAAGTCTCTTTGAAACTCTAAGCTTTTGATTATGTCCTTAAGTGGTTTTAAGATAAAATCCCAAAGGTTTCTTTACCTGAAGGAATGAATGTGCTTGCTCAAAGAAGACATTGAAGCCAGACATTTTTGCACTGTTCTAGAATCTTGGTCCTTGGAATTTGATAGTTTAAGTTAAATTTTGTACAGGTTATTCACATTCAAGGATCCCTGTTTCTAGGAACAGTATTTACTATAGGAATAATAAAGAGATCCCAGAGGAAGGAAGTCACCAAGCGCATACATTGTCAATTGTCACCTTTTCTCTACTTGTTTTTTTCTTCATAGTATTTTAACTTGGAAGAGGGTTGTGATGGGTAAGGCTTAATACCTCTAGATTGGGGAGTTTGAATTAAACAGAAGTTTTAAAACATGACAACCTAGAGCAAATAGCATATCTATATTTGGCTTCCTTAAACTACCCTGACACCTGCTGACTTTTGCTTTGGTATTGTATTCTAGCAGTTCAAAGAATCTTACCATACTCTTTAACTAAGCAGCTGTCCCATGTTCCAAAATTGCTTCTGAGAAGGAAGGAAAGGAAGAAGGAAGGGAAAGAAGGAAAAAAATGTTTCCCTATAAAAGAGATAAATAAACTCAAGTATTTTTCCATAATATTTAATTGTTTTAAATTCTCAAAACAATTTTATTCCTATTGTATAAATGTGAAAAATTAAGCTCAGAAAAGTGAAGAGATTTGTTGAGTCACACAACTAGAAAGTAAGTGCTAGTCTAGGTTTAAACCAGGTATTTTTTCACATCCAAGATTTTTCATTACCTCTTTGCTTCCCTGAATTGTAGGAAAATGTAAGCTACAGATAAAATGAATAAAAATTACTTACAACCCAGCTCACTCAAAGATAATCTCATTCAGCATTTTTACTAAACATTTTTTAAATACATGTATAGAACCTTAAAAATTATGGTATTGTACTATGGCATCATGTTTTAAAACTTTTCATTAAATATCCCTATGTTAATATCATTCAACAACACTCCTAATGGTTCAGCACTTGATTTATTATATTATGTGTGTGTGTGTGAGTGTGTGTGTGTGTGTAGTTGTTGTTGGTGGTGGTTGTGAGGTTTGAACTCTGGGCCTGGGTGCTGTTCCTCAGCTCTTCAGCGCAAAGCTAGGACTCTACCATTTGAGCCACAGCACCACTTCTGGTTTTCTGAGCGGTTTATTGGAGATAAGAGTCTCACCAACATTCCCAACCAGCCTGGCTTTGAACCATGATCCTCAGATCTCAGCCTCCTGAATAGTAGGATTATAGGCGTGAGCCACCAGCTGCTGGCATTATTTATATTATTATTATTATTTAGTAGTATGGATTTATTTCTCGGTTTTTATATATTGATTGTTTTTATGGTTTGAGCTCAGGGTTTTACAGTGGCTAGGCAGGTGGTATACTGCTTAAGCCAAGTCTTCAGCAGATTTTACTCTGGTTACTTTTGAGATAGGGTCTTGCTCTTTTGACCAGCCTAGACCACAGTTCTCCTATTTATACTTCTCCCTATCAGCCAAAATGAGAGATGTGCTCCAGCTGTTTCTGTTGAGGTGGGGTCTCGTCAACTTTTTCGCCTGAGCTGGCCTAGAATTGCAGTCCTATCAGTCTCAGTCTTTGGTGTAGATAAGATGACAGGCATATATCACTGTGCCTAGTTATTGGTTGAGATGGGGTCTTATGAACATTTTGCCTTGGCTTGCCTTGAAGTTGACAGTGTGTCACTGTCAACAAGAATTACTTGATTTTAATAATTATTTTGTTATGTTTATGTTGTTCTCAGTGTATGTTTACATGTTATGAATAATGGTGATAAGAACATAGCTATCCCTCTTGCCTACATTCTTTTTTTTGTGCCAGTCCTGGGGCTTGAATTCAGGTTCTGATGTCTGTCTCTGAGTTTTTTTTTTGCTCAAGGCTAGTGCTTTAACACTTGAGCCACAGCCAGCCATTCTTCTGGATTTTTTGGTGCTTAGTTGGAGATAAAAATTTCAAAGTCTTGGGGCTGGGAAGGTGGCTCAGTGGTAGAGCGCTTGCCTTGCATGCCTGAGGCCCTGGGTTCGATTCCTCAGCACCACATAAGCAAAAAGAAAAAAGCCGGAAGTGGCGTTGTGGCTCAAGTGGTAGAGTGCTAGCCTTGAGCTGAAGAGCTGAGGGACAGTGCCCAGGCCCAGAGTTCAGGCCCCACGCCTGGACCCCCCCAAAAAAATTTCAAAGACTTCCCCTGTCTGGGTTGGCTTCAGACTGTGATCTTCAGATCTCAGCTTCGTGAATAGTTAGGATTGTAGGTGTGAGCTATCAGCACCAGGCTTAAAAAAAATCTGTTGATCTGTATATTGCCAAGGTGCCCTTTAGAAGGACTGTAAGTTTATAATGCTATTAACAATGTCTAAGAGTACCTTATCACTCTCCCATTATGCCTTTCTTTATTAGTTGGTTGGACCTCTGGTTTTCCTGGCAAAGCATGTGTCTCTATTGACTCTAATGTAGTCTTGTAGTCTCCACTTGCTCCTGTTTTCTGACCCTGGCTACTCAGGCTTTTCTGCTTGCTGCTCTTCTTGCCTCTATTGCTACTTCTATGTCTGCCGCCATCTCTATTACTACTGTTACAGTCTGTTTCTGCCTCACTGCTACTACCTCTTCTGCCTCAGCATGTTACAGTCTAAGTTATTCTCCTTACCATAGAAATCATAACTAAGCAAGAAAATATCATTCAGGAGAAGCCTTTTATTGGGTCTGGGTCTAATGTTCTAACACCAATGACAGCACAGGAGCGTGTGTCCTCACTGATGTAAAAAGTGAGCTGAGCTGGTGTTGGTGGCTTTTGCCTGTAATCTAGCTATTCAGGAGGCTGAGATTTGAGAATCCCAGTTTGAAGCCATCCCTGGCAGGAAAAGATTCTTAGCTCCAGTTAACCACAAAAAGCCAGAATTAGAGCCGTGGCTCTAGAGGTAAAGCATTAGCCTTGAGCAAAAGAGCTCAGGGACAGTGCCCAGGACCCAAGTTAAAGCCCCAGCACTGGCACATACATCACACACACACACACATACACACACACATACACACACACACACACACACACACACGTGAACTGAGCAATCTGTATTCAGTAAGATGTGTGCGGCTTGAATGTGACAAGCAATGAAGGGTTGTGTTTGTATCAATCACAGCATAGCTTTCAGTTCCACCAATCACTGGCTTCTTTACTAGGGTGGTGCACATCTGAGCATCTTGAGCAAGAGTAGTTAGTCATCTGAGATTCACTGAGGCAAGTTTTGCCTAGGGTGCTGTCTTCCAAGGCCACTACAGGTAGTTCGGGATGGTTGTGACTTGAATAAGGACTTCATAACTGTAGTAGCCACAGTTGTAGTGGTCCTTGCAACTAGAGTGTTCTCATAGTGATATAATGTCTTACGATATCTGGGCTCAATGAGAGCAGCCCAGCCATTTACCTGAAATAGGGTTGTTTTGCTAACATTTTACAGCTCCACATGCCAGGCATTAATGAACTGTCTATTGATGTCACTCAAAAGCCTGAACCACTCTGACAGTTTCACTCAATCACAGAAATTACAACAAAGATTAAAACAAAATTCAACATTAACATTGTCAGCAGTCTTTAACAGTGCTCTGAGGGGAGAGCTGGATCCCTTGGATCTACCCTACTTCCTTGGCTTCACTGAATAAAATTCCAGTTCAGAGGTCACTATATGTTTCAGGTTTCTTTCTCAGCCTCTGATGCCACTTAAATTTTCTTACAGCTGAACTCAGGATAGGAAGGACATATTCTCCACCAGTTCTTTCACAAGCATTAGGTTTTCCAGTTGGTAAGCTAGATGATCAGAATTGTCAGTTCAGTCTTTGTTTATGTCTGTGTTCAGGTAGCGCCGTTTCACTATTAGAAAAGGCAGAGCTTTCCTCTAACTGTGTTATGTTCAGCAGATTCCTGAATTTCTCAATTTTCCTTTTTCACCTTCTGTTATCACATTGGAAATAACTTTTATTAATGTTGCCATAGGTATGGTCAACTAGAACAACCTTGATTGTCTAGCTGTATACAATTTTCTAGATTTTTTAAAACTCGTTGCCTACTTTAAAAGAGAGAGGTCTATAATGTGAGGTGATACAAATGGCATCTTTGGCAAATAAGTTATAGAAGTAAACAAGATAGTTTTCAATAACTACCTCGATGATGGTGACTTGTTTTCCACTTCTGCTGAGCTCTAATTAATCTTATTAATCTTAATATGATTTATATCTTAGGTTTAAGAAGTCAATATCCTTATGAGATCCAGAACGATTGAAGCCTTGTTCATTTCCATAACTTATTTTTCAATCCTTCTTGATGAACTTGCACTATTTTATTGTATAAAATATGGCCTCTTCCGCATTTTCTCATCCTTTTCACAGCAGTTTCATATGAAGACAAGTGGAGCTCTGGGAGTCAGTTTCAGCAGTTGGCCCTTGGGGAGCTTTCAGGATACTGCTCTTTCCTGTCAGTTTGAAAAAGCTTCTGATAGAGGCAGCAAGCTGTTTGCATTAGCTACCAAGGCCACCATCATTTTCTTATAGTTGTTGATCTTAGTGTTTGCTGCTTTTGTAGTTTATACTATATTTTGTAGCTTTGAAAATAGGTGTGATCAGGAATGCTAGGGGCTCTAAAGCCTTGTACAGCTGGTTTGTCCATTTTCACAGTGTCTCAGTGGTGTTTTTGGCTAAGGCCAAGAAGCTTTTGCTACTTAGAAATTGTAGTGCATCCCCTGGAAATAATTGAGGCCTTTAGTCTTTGTACATTAGTCAATAAAAGCTGTTTTCTTCACTATAGACCTTTTATCTAGGGTGTGTGTGTGTGTGTGTGTGTGTGTGTGTGTGTGTGTGTGTGTGTGTGTGTGTGTGTGTGTGTGTGTGTGTCCGTCCTTGTCCTTGCATACACATGTGTGTGATAGACCCTCAGGCTGTCCTGGAACTCTGGGTTAAGTTCAAAATGTAATATAGAATATTCTCTCTACAACATATGAGACCATGTTTTCCAGAGATATTTTATCAGCCTTTAGAGACCTTTCTTTCCTAACTTTATTTTCTGAGAAGTAGTTTTAAAGCTTTAGGAAATTTCATGTAGATTACCAATCCTCCAAAGGCTTTAAGTAGGACATCTTTTCAGAAATAATGTTAGGGGAATGAACCCCAAAATAAGTATTCAAATGTTTTTTTTTCCTTTCATGCAATTGTTTCTATCATATTTATAAGATGATTTCTATGTTGCTTTGTATATCCCTTCCCCACAGTATAACCCATACTTACACTGTTTTTTGATGTTGGTATAATTTGTGGAGGGGAAGGGGAAAAAAAAAACAAATCGTGGGGCTGGGAAGGTGGCTCAGTGGTAGAGTGTTTGCCTTGCATGCTCGAGGCCCTGGGTTTGATTCCTCAGCACCACATAAGCAAAAAGAAAAAAGCCAGAAGTGGCGATGTGGCTCAAGTGGTAGAGCGCTAGCCTTGAGCTGAAGAGCTGAGGGACAGTGCCCAGGCCCAGAGTTCAGGCCCCACGACCGGAACCCCCCCCAAAAAAAAACAAATCGTTTAACTAGGGATACAGGTGGACCCATTGCAACAATGAGATGTATAAGTCCTTATGTCTGAAAAACGAACTTAACAACTTTGGTGGGGGGGGTGGGGGGAAGACGGGTGGAAGGAAGGGAGGAGTATGGGAAGGGATGGGAAGGGGAAACAAAAAGGAGGCAACAATGCTTGATAAGAAATGTACTCGTTATCTTGCCCGTGTAATTGTAACTCCTCTGTACGGTATTCTCACAATAAAAAAAAATTACTAATCCATACTTCTTAGGATAATACAAATTGAGAAACATCTTTTAACTTGTGGAAGTAGCAGACTTTGAATGAATTAAAGGGTAATGGTAAAGATTAGATTAGTTTTCAGGAGATGTTACTTTTTGGAAGTATAAGACAGTATCATTCAAAGTAGACAGTCTGTTTTGGTGATCTTTGAGTTTAATTAGCAGGTCAGCTGTCCTTAGGTACAGTCTTGCATTTGTCAGCTGCCAACCTTGGCACAAGGACATTTTCAGTCTTTAAGATCCTTGGAAAACTTTATGAAAAGTATTAGTCAGCATTAAACTTTACAGGTGAGAAGAATTTGTCTCTTTTGTTGCGGTATCTTTTTTTAAAATAGTTGTTCTAGAATCTCAAATGAGAGCTGGTTGGGGAGGATGGAAGGGATGATAGGGGAAAAACAAAGGAGGGGGTAACAATGCTTGATAGGAAATGTACGAATTACCTTAATCATGTAACTGCAACCCCTCTGTACAGTATCTTTACACTCCCCCCACCTCTCTCTCTATGTATACATAAATGAGAGGTGGTTCTCTGAGTTGAAATGTTTTTCTTTTCTTTTTCTTTTAGTGAGGCTGGTTCTGTGGCTTGAACTCAGGGCCTAGGTGCTGTACTTGAGGTTTTTTGCTTAAGGCTAGTATTCTACTGAGCCACAGTTCCACTTGCTTCTTTTTAGTGGTTAATTAGAGATAAGAGTCTCATGGACTTTCCTGTGTAGGTTGGCTTCAAAATAAGATCCTCAAATCTCAATCTCCTGAGTAGCAAAGATTACAGGTGTGAGCCTGCTGGTGCCCAGCAATCTTTTAGTTTTTAATGGTAATTAATGTAGATAATAACTGAGAAATTAGGAAATTAGTGAAACACTGGCAAAAGAAACTAGTTTGAGTGTGTGTGTGTGTGTGTGTGTGTGTGTGTGTGAAGAACTGGGGCTTGAACTCAAGGTCTTAAGCTCTTGTTTGGCATTTTTTGCTCATGGCTAGTGCTCTACCACTTGAGCCACACCTTCATCCTGGCATTTTTGCTTGTCAGTTGGAGATAGAATCTCCTAGGTTTTATTTTTTTCTTTCTTTCTTCAGAATCTCAGTTCTTAAGATCTCAGCCTTCTGAGTAGTTAGGAGTATAGTTGTAAGCCACTGACAAACATCTAGCTAGTTTAAACATTTTAACTGCTCTCTGTATATGACAATTATAATTCAAGAATGACAATTAATTCTTTTAACAAAGAAATTCTGCTTGGCTGGGTGCTGGTGGCTCACGCCTGTAATCCTAGCTACTCAGGAGGCTGAGATCTGAGGATCGTGGTTCAAAGCCAGCCCGGGCAGGAAAGTCCATGAAACTCTTATCTCCAATAAGCCACCAGAAAACTGGAAGTGGCGCTGTAGTTCAAGTGGTAGAATGCTAGCCTTGAGCTGAAGAGCTGAGGGACAGCGCCCAGGCCCAGAGTTCAAGCCCCATGACTGACAAAAAAAAAAAAGAAAGGCTGCTTTTTTTTATGAAAAAGATTCAGAAATCTTTTAGATTGTTTATGTTTTATTCCAAGTGAATAGGACTAGTAGGTCCTATTCCTTGTTTCCACCCTTAAGACTTTTGTAGACATTTGGTTGGAATAGGTCTCTAAAATTACATTGTCCAGCTTCTAGCCACCTGTGTTTTTTTAAAAAAAATATTTTAAAAATTTTATTGTCAAGGTTATGTGCAGAGGGGTTACAGTTACATCCATAAGGTAGTGAGTACATTTCTTGTGGACCTTGTTAGACTCATTTTTCTCCCACTTTTGCTCCCCCTGAAACTCTCCCCAAGTTGTACAGTTAATTTCCACCATATTGTCCTGTAAGTATTGCTGTTGCATTGGTTCACCCTTTGTCCATTGTCTCATCATTTTGTTGTTCCCCTTCCCTTCTCTAATTTAGATAAATGTATATACAATACCCAGGGTGCCAAAAGTAAATACAGTAATAACAGGAATAAACCATAGGGGAAAAAAACACAGAAGAAAAAAGAAATCACATAGTACATTAAAAACAACGACAAAGAAAAACCTCTTGTTTCCATGTCTTGGAGTTTATTTTGCTTAGCGTCATCTTTTATGGTCATATGTATGTAACTATTGAGCCATAATGCCCATCTGCTGGGACTATCCTAGTCATATACCAATTATTACAAATGAGGGAAACCATGGAATTTATGTTTCTTTGGATCTTCTTCACTTAATATGATTTTTTCCATGTCTTTCCATTTCCTTACAACTGGGACAATGTCATTCTTTCTTATGGGAGCATAGAATTCCATTGTATGTGTGTGCATATACATATATACACATCATATACACATGTATACCGCATTTTCTTGATCCATTCATCTACTGGTGGGGGGGGGCATTTGGATTGGTTCCATATCTTAACTATGGTAACACCCAGGCCCTGAGTTCAAGCTCCACCACCGACATGTGAGGTTTTAAAGCACTTGACATATAGCAAGTTTGAATTGAGAGATGTTCTGTAAATTGAAACTATATACTGGGTTTTGAAGATTTAGTAAACCCTTCCTAAAAAGAATGAGAAAGGATGGAAGTGGCGCTGTAGCGCAAGTGGTAGAGCACTTGCCTTGAGCTGAAGAGCCCAGGGACAGTGCTCAAGCCCAGAGTTCAAGCCCCACGACTGACAAAAATAAAAAGAATGAGAAAGGAATTCATAGATAATACTTTTTCTTAATTGGGCTCTTCCTGTGTTGTACAGGCTGGCCTCAAACTCTTAGGTCCCAGCAATCCTGCTTTCACTGCCCCAGGAGAAGCTGGACTATAGGTGTCCACCACTGTGCGTAGCTAGATAGTTACTAACTATTAATTATACATAAAAAAACAATATTTTGGATTTGCTGGGTAAAGTAAAATACTTTAATGACTTTGATTTTTTTCTTTTACTTTTTTGATGTGGCTACTATTGGCTTATAATATATTTCCATTGGATAGTGCTGTTCTAAGGTGAATGAGAAAACTGCAATTGGTAAATGCTGTATTCCAGCCTCTAACATCACTATTAGACAAGAGTCTAGTAACTTTCAGAAGGTAGGTAACACTTAATTTGAATATGAGAGCATTTGGATATCTTTGTAACAGGAGCTTTAAAAACAAGAAGACTTATTAGAAAATCTTTGGGGCCTATAGCCTATCTCGCTGGGGCAATATGCTACAGCTGTTTTCAGCAAAGTTCCTCACATACAAAACTTGCTAGTAAAAGACAAAATAAAAAATTGGAAGGTTTAATTTTCCTCTGAATTAAATCCACCTTTTTATGTACATATTTATTTATATTTTGTGTATGTAAATTCATTTGAGTTTTTATTGTACTCACATATACCATGACAATTGTAATTTCGTTGTTGGCCCGCATCCATTGGGATCTGGCACTTCTTTCTTATAGAATATAATAAAATATAATAAACTCTTGCCCTGTTCTGGCTCAGTGTTGGTATGTTTACCCTGAAGTTTGCTAGGTATAGTTCACAGTACACAGCTGTGAATCTTTACTTATGGAATTTCCAGAAGTTTTATATAAAAATCATTGAAAACTTAGCTAACCAAATATTTGTAGAATTTTAGGTATCCCATATAATTGGGTAGTCATTTGGAATTAGAGGCAGTATTTCAAAGAGGTTAAGAGCACAGTCTGTGGAGTGAGTCTGAGCCTAATCTTTACCTCACTAGCAGTGTCACTATGTATTGTGTAACAAGTCTTTGTCTCAAGAAAAAAGTTAATACATGAGTTCCTCTGTTGTGCTACCACATAAAGACTATATTAACCTGGCTAGTGGCTCCCATTTGAATAGAGTATGTACAGAACATTTCTGTTTTTGCTTTTGTTTTTTTTCATTTTTTTCTTTTTATTTTTTTTATTGTGAAAATACTGTACAGACAGGTTACAGTTACATGAGCAAGATAATGAGTACATTTCTTATCAAGCATTGTAGTCTCCTCCTTTGTTTCCCCTTCCCATCCCTTCCCATCCTCCCCCTCTCCTACCCACCCAATCCTCCCCGCTCCCCTCCCCCACCAAAGTTGTAAAATTCGTTTTTGACATAACGACTTGTACATTAACAGAACATTTTTGTTAGCACAAAAACTTTTACTGAACAAGCCAGGCACTGCTGGCTCATGCCTATAATCCTAGCTACTCAGGAGGCTGAGATCTGAGGATGGTGGTTCAAAGCCAGTCGTTATCTCCAATAAACCACTCAGAAAGCCGGAAGTGGCTCTGTGGCTCTAGTGGTAGAGTGCTTGCCTTGAGCTGAAGAGCTGAGGGACAGCACCCAGGTCCAGAGTTCAAGCCCCATGACCGGCCAAAAAACAAACAACAACAACAACAAAAAATGAACTTTTACTGAACAGTACTAGAGTATAACCAAAGTAAATAATAAAATATTAATAAAGTCTTGGATATTGGCTATAAAAATGGATTATTTACTGTGGTTCCAAACATATATAAGGTTGAAATGAGTGTTACTATCCTAGATGCATGTGTATTACCTAGTTTCATATTTGTAAGGTATATTTTAAAATTTTTGTAAATAAATAAAATATTTTTGAATGTCAATGTCTCCTTCCCTTATTCTTCATATTCTGAGAAGTTTCCATTTGTTTTTGCAGCATATAAGAATTTGGCTCCATTTCCTTGCCATGGCCTTATGGCCTAAAAAGCATTATTGTATGAAATCATATTGATCATCTTCAGCCCGAAATTATGATGAGATTGTATACTGGCAATAAGACAGTTTAAGACAGTACAAATGTATAAACCTTTTGTAATTATAGGCCTTTGGAAATTTTGAGCAATAAGGATCTTTACATCGTTCCTATTCATTATATTATATATGCTTACATAAAGTTGTTAAGATTTATGATTTTCTTTTATTAAAAGATAATATTTTAATCCTAGGAAGCTCTACAAAGGATCATTTCAACTCTGGCAAATAAAAATGATGAAATTCAAAACTTTATTGATACACTAAATCACACACTAAAAGGAGTTCAGGTATGCATTTTTATTAGAATTGTGTACATATATGTCATGCAGCATTGGTGAGTCAAATATCAAGTATAAATATAGTCCATCACCTTTATATTATGAGTTATGGACGTAAGGTCAAGGTTTTTCTGTGGGAAAATCAAGTGGTAAGGGGCCAAGAAAACTCTGGATATGCAGAGCTAGAGAATATTAGTGCTTGCTTTTTGTCCTGTTCTATTTGATGTTTTTCTTTACTAGTTCTAATTAAGAAACAGTTATATTTTTCATATTATTTGGAAGTAAAACACTTACTTTTCACTGTATAGTGGGAGAAAAATATAAGTAATGAGAGGCCTATTTGAAAAAGAGGATGATAGTAAAACAAAAATTAAAATATAGCCAGGCACTAGTGGCTCACACATGTAATCCTAGCTACTCAGGAGACTAAGATCTGAGGATAGTGGTTCAAAGCCATCCTGGGTTAGAAAGTCTGTGAGATTTGTATCTCTAGTTAACCACCAAAAACTGAAAGCTGTGAATCAAAGTGATAGAGTGCTAGCCTTGAGCAAAAGAGCTCAGGGACAGCAACTAGCCCCATGACCCTCCCCCCCCCCACACACACACAAAGGCTCAATTAGGAGGGACAGGAGAGCTATCCCATATTTGGGATATATTCCCATACTACTAGTAGTCAACTGTTGTTATACAAGGGAGCTCAAAAGACAGTATAGTGACTCTTAGGAACACAGACCTCACCGAGTCTGAAACAGGAAGAAATAGAAAATCTAAATGTATTAGTAATGAATGAAATTAGTAAGAAATTGAACTGGGTCAGTTATAAAAATCCAAAAAGTCCAGAACTTGATTTCTTCATCCCTGAATTCTATAAGATATTTAAGGGAGAACTAATATGAATCAGACCTTTCAAAATTTTTCAAAAAAAAAAAATGGAAAAGGGGGAGGCCTTCCAACCTCATTCTACAAAGCCAGTATCACAATGATGCCAAAGCCAGGCAAGTATTCTACAAGTAGAGCAAACTATGGCTTACCCCCTTGATGAATATAGACGTAAAAAATCCCCAACTCCTTATGATTAGGCTGTCCTCCCTCCCTCCTCTCCCTCCCTCCAGTCCTTCTTCCCTCCTCCTCTGTCTCTCTGTCTCCATCTCTCTGTTTCTCTCTCTCTCTCTCTCTCTCTCTCTCTCTTGTGCTAGGCCTTGCACTCTTCCTTAGTTTATTTTCTCACTCTAGGCTGGTAGTTTACCACTTGAGCCATGTTTCCACGTCTGGCATTTTTCTGCTTAACTGGAATTAAATTCTATTTATCTTATATAAGTGCAGTATTGTGGAGAACCTGAAAGATTTTAAAAGTGATCCCTCTATGTCAAGAATGTTCTTCAGAGTTGCTGAATTAAAATCTGGGCGGTAATATTAAAATGGTTTGTCACTGATCTCTTCCTTCTCTTCTCTTCCTCTTGTTCTTCTTCCTCCTTTTTAAAATTTTTTATTTTTTGGTGATACTGGAGTTTAAACTCAAGTACTCCAAAGCCTTGTGCTTATTGTAGGCACTCTCTCACTTGAGCCATGGATAGAGTCCCATGCTTTTTGCTTGAGCTTGCTTTGGCTTACAATCCTACTTCTGTCTCCCATGTACTGAAATTACAGGTCATATCATTTTATCCAGCTTGTTTGATAAAATAAATTCTAAATAACTTTACTGACCTTCAAACCATGATTCTCCCAATCTGCCTCATGAGTAGTGGAGATTACAGATACATACTATCATGCGTGGCCTATATTAGTAATTCTGATGCATTCAGAAGTTGCATTCAGACTATTTAAAAATTATGGCTTAGGGTTTGCCTTAGAGCCTGGCACGCTGAATGATGTGGGGAAGTTTAAAACAACCTCTTAACCAGACAACAGTGGCTCATATCTGTAATCCTAGCTACTCAGGGGGCTGAGATCTACAGTTCAAAGCCAGCCTGGGCAGGAAAGTCTATGAGACTCTTAGCCAATAAACTACTCAGAAAAGGCTGGACATAGCTTTGTGGCTCAAGTAGTAGAGCACTAGAGCATAAAGAGGCTTAGGTACAGCCTTCAGGCCCTGAGTTTAAGCTCTAGGACTAGAAAAAATAATAAATAAATATTAAAACAAGTTTTGCCTTGTCTTGTGGAATAGTTTTATAAGGTAGAAGAAATATGGGATATTCTATAAATGGACAGTTTTACTCAACTGAAATAGTACTATACTATTAGTCAGCTTCTTGCATTTAACTTTTTAAAAAAACCTTAAGTCAACATACCTAAGGGAGGAATCCAACGATGTAAGAACAAATAATGTTCTACTTATCAAAACAAGTACCAGGAAGTAAAAACATGTTTTAGGGGGTAGGAAAGGGCATAGGAATGAAGGGAGGAGGAAGGATTAATAAATGAAGTCATTACATTCAATATGCATTATATAAAAAAATAAAATATGTAACTTGAGGATAGGGATGGGAGGGGGAAAATTGGGAGGAACAATGGAAGGAGTGACATTGACCAGAAAGCATTGTATGTATAACCTGCCTTACAGAGTTTAAACCACTTTGTACAACTACTTAACAATAATAATTATAACAAATCTTAAGTCAAAATATTAGAGTTTTGATATTTTTAATGTTAGGGTTCAGTAGTTTAAAATATAAATGTTATTCCCTTTAAGTCTGCTTTTTAGTTTTTAAAGTTTTGATTGCTCTTTAGTAAAATCTCTTATTTTTCTTTTTAAAACAGGAAAATTCTTCTAACATACTTTCAGAGTTAGATGAAGAATTTGATAGTTTGTATTCTATATTGGATGAAGTAAAAGAAAGTATGATTAACAGTATCAAGCAGGAACAAGCTCGTAAATCACATGAGTTACAGGTGAGATCATACAAGTATTTAAATATGCATTCTTACTCAGTTTAATGCTTGGTTTATTGAAGGAAAAAGTTTTATTGAAAGAAAACTATACTTGTATCTAGTAGATTAGTAGCTTTTAACTTTGTTTTGGTCATTATAATGGGTATGAATTGTTATGGTTAGATGTAGTAAGCTTGTTGAATATCTTGTGTACTTAATTTGGGTGAAATTTCTATTCAGATTTGTTTCCCCATCTTTTAATTTGGGCACTTATTTTGTTGTTGTTATTGAGTCATAGTTGTTTAATACATCCTGATTATATTTTTATCTTACTTCAGTTTTAATATTGTAATCCTTAGTTTTGAACCCAGGATCATGCTAGACAAGTGCTTTGCCCTGAGCTATATGCCCAATTCTAAACAGAGCTACATTCACAATTCTACATTCTAGCTATTAATCCTGTATCAGATATATGATTTGTAGATATTTTTTCCTCTGTAGGTTACCTTTTCACTCTTGGTTATTTCTTTTACTATGGAGAAGTTTTTAGGTTTGATATAGTCCATGTGTTTTTTGTTTTTTTTTGTGTGTGTGTGTGTGTTGTTTGTCTGAGCTATATTCAAGAAACCACTGTAAAATACAATATTCTGAAGCTTTTCCTCTATTTGCTTCTGAGTTCTTTGCACCTTCAGAGCTTTTATCTTCAATTCATTGTCAGTTGGGTTCTACTTATTCTTATACATGTGGAGATTCAGTTTTTGTCATACCATTTGTTGGGCACACTGTCTTTCTCAATTGGGTGATGTTGGCATCTTTTGTGTGTGTGTGTGTGTATGTGAGTTTATTTCTGGTTTCTCTTATTCTGTTCCACTGTACAGTGTTTCTGTCTTTATGCTAGAACCACACAGTTTTGATTACTTTAGCTTTGAGGCCTCCAACTTTGTTCGCATCTATGATTGCTTTGGCATGTTGGGATTCCTTGAAATTCTGTATCAACTTCAGGCTTTTTTTATATTCTGCCTACAATATAACTGGAAGTTTGATAGCTATTTTGTTGAACTAGTAGATTGCTTTTGAAAGTATTTTAACAATATTAAGTCTTTGCATTTATTTGTATTGTCTTTAATTTTTCTGGCATTATGTATAGGCCTTTTACTACCTGGATTAAATTTAAAATATTTTATTCATTTTGTTGCTTGTTATAAATGGGATGCTTAACATTTTTTGTTTGCTTACTTTTGGTGTATAAAATGCAATTGATTTTGGACATAGGTATCTTTGAGAACCTGAAAACCATGGGATAATACCAATGTTTCTCTTTCTCCCCTACGAAAGCACTGTGTATACCACTTTCAAGGATTAAGTACCCTAAAAGATGCCCATGCTTCCATTATTGAAGTTTGTAGTTTATATGGAAGTAGAGGTTATATTCCTTGGCATTCAAACATAATTATCTTAAGTTTCTATAAATTTCAAAAAAATTATCTTACAAAAACAAGTAAATAACACTAGGGAAGAAAGAAACACTTGGCATCTTCTGAATCTTTAACCCATAGCTTATTTATGCAGGTTTTGGTTCTTCTGTCTTGGACACAGATTCTTCAGAGAAAGAGTTTGAAATGGTCTTTTTAACAGTCTGGTTGCTTAGTTTCTATCTTCCCCACCCCCCACCCCCTCACACTTTTCTGTCTACAGAGCAGCTTTCTATCCATTTACCACCAGTCAGCATTTATGTTACCCTAGCCTGTAACATGCTAAATTTGCCACTACTGTGGGTGTGATTGATCTTTTCTTTTGCCTTTTTCCTCTACTCATCAAGTGACAAATCTCACTCATTTTATACATATATACATACATATATATATACACACACACACACATACACATGCACGCGCGCACACACACACACACACACATACACTATCCATTTTAATCTATTCCTAGTAACCATTTCTAAGGTGAATGATTTTGCAGTACTGCTTACCTCTAAACTTCATATATCTCCTTGGGAGTCTGTTGATTGTTGGTACCTTCTTTCTGCTTAAATGTATATGCACAATGTATTTTTCTAGCATTGTTAGTAAAGAGAAGTAGAAACAGTCAATAAACATAGTTTTTTGAATATTTGCAGTTGCTCGATAAGATAAACTGTTAGCAACATTCATCTTGAGATCAGGAACATTGCTATTTAAATTTTAAAAATATCTCCTACTTGGCCAGGCATTGGTGTCTTTTGCTTGTAAATACTAGCTACTCAGGAGACTGAGACCTGAGGACTGTGGTTTGAAGCTAGCCTAGGTAGGAAAGTTTGAGACCCTAATCTCCAATTAACCTCCTCTTCCTCCCAAAAAAGCCTGAAGTGGAGATGTGGCTCAAGTGGTAGAGCACTAGCCTTGAGTACAAAAGCTCAGGGACAGCATCTAGGATCTGAGTTCAAGCCCCAGGACCAGCACACATACACACACACACATACACACAGACAGACAGACACACACACACACAGACACTGCCTCCTACTTGTTTCATTCTTCTTGTATTTTACTACATTTCTTTTACTTGACTAGTTCTTGGGTCCTTTTCTCTGCTCTCCTTTGACTAAAAATTCAATAACATTCGATAGCAAAGCTCTTACAATGATTGCTTTTAAAAAGTGTTATTAGCCAGGTGCCTGTGGTTCACGCCTGTAATCCTAGCTACTCAGGAGGCTGAGAGCTGAGGATCACAGTTCAAAGCCAGTCCAGGCAGGAAAGTCCGTGAGACTTTTTTTTTGTCCTTCATGGGGCTTGAACTCAGCTTGTGCACTGTCCCTGTGCTCTTCAGCTCAAGGCAGGCACTCTACTGCTTAAGCTACAATGCCACTTCGCCTTTTTCTAGTGGTTTATTGGAGATAAGAGTCTCAAAATTCTACCATAAAATTTATAATGAGTTTAGAAAAACAACTACAAAAAGGAATCATAGATTGGTTATTAATGACATTTCCTTCTTTAGCTGGAGATTATAGAGAATCCCTATTCTTCTTTTGGGTTTACAAAATTGTTCATAACCTCTTTTTTCTTTGTTGCTGTTATTTTTAAGGTACTATGTGATTTTTTTTGTTTGATTTGTATGTTCTTCCCCTATGGCATAATCCTGTTGTCACTGTATTTGATTCTGGTTCCCTGCATCTTGTATATACATTTTTCTAACTTTGGAAGGGGAAGAAAAATAACAAAATGCTGAAACAAGGATATAGGTTGACTCATTGTAACAATGAGTTGTACAAGACACTATGTTGAAAATGAACTTTACAACTTGGGGGGAAGGGAGGGAGGAGTTGGGGAAGTGGGGAGGGAAGGGATAGTAGGGGAAAAACAAAGGAGGGGGTAACAATGCTGGATATAAATGTACTCATTATCTTACTCATACAACTGCAACCCCTATGTATAGTATCTTTACAATAAAAATATTAAAAAAATTATAACCTCTGAAGGATTGGTAAATTAGTGCTCTTTAAATTGCATTTTACTATATCTCACTTTGTCTTTTCTATCTCCATTTATTTCAAAACAAACGTATAATTCTCTTCTTTTTCTTTTCTTTTTTTTATTGTGAAAATACCATGGGGAGGGGTTACAATAACATGGGCAAGATAATAAGTACATTTCTTATCAAACATTGTTGCCTCCTCCTTTGTTTCCCCTTCCCATCTCCCCCTTCCCCCTCCTTCCCCCCCCCCCCCCCCCCCCCGCCAAAGTTGTAAAGTTCGTTTTTTGACATAACGACTTGTACATCTCATGATTGCAATGGGTCCACCTGTATCCCTATTTAAGCAATTTGTTTTTTCCCTTCCCCTCCACAAATTATACCAACATCAAATACAGTGAAAGCAGGGGTTATACCATGGGGGAGGGACAAAAAGTATAATTTTCTTAGTTTAATATATTATTTTTCTCAAAAATTGACTTCCAAACTCACATTTTAATAATTCCTTGAGATGGATGTATGTAGTATGTAGTCAACCTTGTTTTTGTATTTTTTACCATAATACTACAATGATTTTGCTCCACCAGATTCCGATTAGACCACATATAACCTGCCATTTCTGTTGGTGATTTCACTTAAATTCTTTCATAAAACTTGTCAACAAATGGGACACTAAAAGGTGATTTGTTAATTCTTGTATTGAACTTAGATTTGCTCAGAAGAGTAACAGTAGTTTATGACCTTTGGGTTAGATTACTAAGATAACTGTTGTACACACATTTTAACTCAGAGTGTGACTGAACTATTTTTTCATTCCAAAGTAAAGTAGCAGAACACATCAGCATCTAGTATAATGAGCTGTGGTTTATCTTTCATGGAGATCTAAGGGATATATAAGTAGATTTGAATAAGGAATGGATATTAATAAGTGCTCTGGAAAACAATCTTGTTCTTAAGCTTAGAAATAGCTTAAATAGTTAATGCTATCACTAATAAACTTTTCACATGATCTACAAATGAGAGGAGGGAAGAGAGATGGAAGGAGAAAACTAAGAAAGATACTTAATACCTTTTTTGAATGTGCAGGCAGCAAAGGCAGAACATATCTCTGTAATGAATCGCATCTTTTATTCATTTTCATAGCTTTTTAAGTCTAGATACTTAAAGTTATTGTCCTTGTGCTAGGAAATAAGGTTCCAGTCTAAAAAAATTAAAATTTAGGATTTATAGTAGAATGTATTCCTTGGGTAATGTGATAAATTGGATCCTAGTACTAAGTGTTCCTGTACTTTTATTCACAAATTTCACCTTAATAGATAAATATCAATAAAAATTTAATCTTCATTACAGAAGTTTTGTCTGCACATAGATTATTTTGATATGTTAAATTGTAGATAGTCTCTTAATTGGGAAGACTTCAGTTGGATTTGGTTCAAGTTTTATATAACTGCTTTTCCTTTTTATTTTAAGTTGTGTATCTGTAGTGTATCTGTGCATTTAAACTGTTTTGGATATATTATCATCCATAGCTCTCTGACAAATTTTTGTTGAGTTGTTGATAACATAGTCTGATAGAAATAATCTTCATTTTAATAATTAAGATTTTTTTTCTCCCTAGAATCAGCTAATTCAGTGTAATAATGCCCTGGAGAACTCAGAAGAACTACTAGAATATGCAACAAGGTCATTAGATATAAAAGAACCAGAAGCATTTTCAAAGGTATGAAAGAAACCAATAAAAAACTACACTAATAACTCAATTTTTTTAAAGAGGCTCATTTATTTAGTTTTGGATTTGTTTAGTCATTTCTAATGCTGCTAGCTGTTGATTTATTTTGAAGCAGACAACTAGAATAAATTATTTTAGGTCAGTTTTTATTTAAAATTAAGCTCAGTGAACTTACTGTCTCTTTCAGCTATCTCCCTACTGGAAATTTGTTTTAAAGGGACTTATATACTTGAACTGAGTGACAGTTTTCTTACAAACTTTTTCATAAATGAGGAAAGAAGATGTTGCTATTAATATGTTTAGAAATGAGTTCCCTGTTTTTCCCTCGATGACATGTTTAGGAAAACACCATCACTTGATGCATATAAGCCCTGTGAATTAGTCGATTTTATTATGGGAGACAAATGTCTCATTGTTTAGCTCAAATATTTGAGGGTTTTATTAAAATATGAAAATGTAGGTCCTTGTTTAAGGGTATGTTTGACATAAAAATTAAATAGAATAAGAAGCTTGCTAATGTTTTAACTTAGATTTTAGTGTTCAAAGAACTGTCCATTCTAAATTCTAATTCTTATTTTAAGTTTATCAAGTTGAAATTCAGGGATGTAGAGTATATCAAGACAATGTAAAAGTGGGAAATTATGTGATATCATTAGCAAACTATTAATATGTGGTTATCAAAATAAGATTTAACTTTGGTGTTTTTACTTTATGGGCTATGTAGTGAGCTATGTTAGGAAAGTGGCTGTATGATCCCTTTGTATTCAGTCAATATTTTGATTTTGTGACTTTTTTTTCTGTGAGCTTAAAGGTAGAAAAAAAACTTCTTGAAAATGTAATATTTGCTGGGCACTGGTGGCTTACATCTGTAATCCTAGCTACTCAGGAGGCTGAGATATGAGGATTGTGGTTCAAAGCCAGCTGGGGCAGGAAAGGCCTTGAGACTCTTATCTCCAATAAACCACCAGAAAACTGGAAGTGGCGCTGTGGCTCAAGTGTAGAGTGCTAGCCTTGAGCTGAAAGGTGAGGGACAGCCCCAGGCCCAGAGTTCAAGCCCCATGACCAACCAAAAAAATAATAATAATAATAAATAAAATGTAATATTTTAGCCTAAGCCTTTGCATTTTAAATTTGAACTTTAAAAATCAATTTCTTCTTTTAACAAAATGAATAAAAATAAAAATAATTCCTAAATGTGGAAGTGAATTGTAAAGTTTCCCCTTATACTTGGTAGGACTTATATAGTATTTTAGTAACATGAGATATGACCTGTCCTAGTGTATTTTGGCAATAACCTTAAATACCAAGCACATAGCCACAAAGCACACAAAAAGCAAAAATGTCGCAGAGTTCATAGACAGTAGTTAATAGTCTGCATTCACAAGTTTCTCAGAAGCTGTTGACTATTAATCAGAACATGGTACTGCTAAATCTTTAGGGTTTTATTTTTCTGTTTTCCAGTTGTCAACGGATTTCCCTTGTAGAAGAGTAGGGCAGCTGTTAGTGGCAGGCATAATCATAACAGTGGAAATTAATAAATGACAGCCTGAGAGTCAGGAAGAAGGTTAGTAAGTGTAGACCTAAGTTTCATAAAATAACTAAATTAAGCTGCATTGAAATGGATGCTGGTGCTTGGGCAAGCTATGATAAAAGTTTATTTCTTGCAGTTATCTCTTGACATTTTCAGAGTTGTTCCCTTCCTTTCTCATATTACACATCCTCATTTTCCTTTGTTCTTTTTCAGCTTTCTTAATGAAAAATTGTTTTCCTTAAAACTTTTCTCAAAAGATTGTACGGTTGTGATTAAATAAATAACATTGTGGTTAAATATATTTTCTTAATTTGTCACTTTGTTTTTTCTATCTTATTATTTTGGACTTGCCCTCTAACATTTTGTGGTGGTACTTACAGCTTAACCACTGGAAATACGGTGTAAGGAATTGTCAGTCTTCCTTAGCCAGAGTATGCATTTATTGTTAAATTAAAATGCTTAGCTTATTTATTTTCTTTGTACATCCAATTAATATTCTAGATAGGATTTGGTTTCAACTCGGAAACTAACTTAACTTTCTTAGCTGTCTGGTCTGCTGGCCTGCTTCAGATATGAAGTTGATGACAAAACAGGAGAGATGACTTTGAAGATTATTAGACTAAGAGTATATTGTTAGATATATTGAAAAAGAATTTCCCTAAGGTATACTATTTGTGAATATTCCATATTACATTTCTTAAGCCACAGTAATATAACTAGTTGATGGGGAAACACCTTGGCTAAAACCTAGGCACCGAATCTTCTTATATTTAAAAAAAAGCATTTCTGGGGGGGAGATACTGGGGTGTGAACTAGTTTTTTTACCTTGCTGCTCTATCACTTGAGCCACACCTTCAGTTTTTCTTTACATTAGTTATTTTTTGGATAGAGTCTTAGGCCAGACTGAATTATCCTATTATGTATTTGTGCCTAGTTACAAAAGTGTATTCAGTACTGTATTTCAACATTTATTTCAAGTTATTTGGTATAGTTTTATGACAGATAATTTTAAATGCACACGCTTTTTTGGAAAAATAGTACTTTTTAGGAACAGATAAATCTATGTATGCAAAAATACAAAACTTGGAAGTGGTACTGTGGCTCAAGCAGTAGACCACTCGTCTTGAGCTGAAGAGCTGAAGGACAGCGCCCAGGCCCAGAGTTCAAGCCCCACTACCGATAAAAAAAAAGAAAAATACAAAGCTTGTAATATATCAAATCATCCAGTACATAAGTTGGGTTTTGCAAAGGCTGATATTTTTGCCTAAAGATATTTTTTCTTTTATTTTTTGTGAGCATTGTCGTTTGAACTTGAAAGTCTCAGATGTAGATACTCTACTGCTGAGCCACTCCTTTAGTCCTTTTCTTTGCTGGTTTGTTGTTATGTGTGTGCCAGTGTGTGTGTGTGTGTGTGCCAGTGTGTGTGTGTGTGCCAGTGTGTGTGTGTGTGTGTGTGTGTGTGTTTCTGCTGAGCCACTCCTTTAGTCCTTTTCTTTGCTGGTTTGTTGTTATGTGTGTGCCAGTCTGTGTGTGTGTGTGTGTGTGTGTGTGTGTGTGTGTGTTTTCAAGCCTGAAACTTGAACTCAAGGCCTAGTTGCTGTCCCTGAGCTATTTTGCTCAAGAATAGCTCTCTACAGCTAGTACTACAGCCCTATTTCTGGCTTTTTGGTGGTTTCAAGGCCTTTTCTGTGTGAGCTGGACAGCCCTGATCCAAAGATCTCAACCTTCTAAATAACTAGGATTACAGAAGTGTTTGTGTTGGTTATAGGGTCACAGTTCCTGCCTAACTTCACACCTAGGCTGTGATCCATTGATGTCAGGCTTTCTATCACAGCTAGGATAACATATCTAAGCCATTATACCCTGCTCTCTGTTGAGCAGAAATGTCACAAATCCTTGTCTGGGCTAGTCTTGAACTGCTCCTTACTTCAATCTCAGCCACCCAAATAGCTAGCTATTTCAGCCCACCTGAAAGTAGCATTTTGAGACTGCCTCCTTTTCTGTTCTTTATTTCTTTAAAAAGAGAAAAATGGCAATACCTAGGAGAAATTTATTTACAACAAGGTGGTTGTTTGTATCTTCAAAGTGCTTGATAAAATTACAGAAGGAAATAGATTTTACATTTATTTGTTATAGAATAAAAGCAAGAAAGACTGAGTAAAGTTCTGGTTTAACTTTAATTGCAATTATGAAGAATTACTTGGTATTACTCCATGTACTTTTATTACAATTCTGCTTAAAGAACTTTAGTCTCAGGTAATAGGTTCCTATAACTGATAACTTGAAGGATCTTAACTCTAAAGGATCTTAACTCATGCCTGTAATGACAACTAGTTGGGAGGCAGAAACTGGAACAGTCTTGATTTGAGGTCAGCCTGGGCCAAACATTTGTAACACCCTCATCTCAACAAACAACCTGGGTACAGTGGTCTTTGCTTGTAATTCCACATAGGTAGGAGGATCTTGTGGGAAAAAAAATCTTATGAAAAAACAAACATGAAACACTAAAGCACAAAAGGCTAGGGCATGGCTTAAGTGCTAGAGTACCTGCTTGGTAAAAGCTCTGAGTTAAACCTTAGTACTATCAGCCAATCAAATAAACTAAAACAGCAACAAAGATAGAAAGAGGGAATAAGTCATAGAGAGATAGAGAAAGAGGATGGTGTAAGGTAAGGAGGAAGAAAGGAAGAGGGAGAGGGTCATCTCTATAAATACAGGTGGAAGTGTTGGCAAACAGGATTTCAGTAGAATAACTAAGTAGTTAACTTGAGGCTTCTGAGGCTTTCCAGTGACATGCAGAATTGAAACTAAACAAATAGTAAACCTTTACTGTGGCGTCTTGCAAGCTCACCACGAGAAATTACAGAGTAGTGGTAAGTCCTGGGGTCCTCAGTTAGTGTTTATTACAGGATGATGTTTAAATCATAAAAGTATCACTCCAAGATTGATCAAGATACAAAATGTAATCTTTGGGTAGCTTTCTGCTTTAGGAAAAAAAATTATAGGAAAAAAATTACTTTCCATTGTAAGATGCATCTTGAAATAAGGAAATACATTGAGAATTTGAGACTCTCCTATCTTATTTTAACTTTATATATATAGTAAAGGTAGTGTACAGAGGGGTTACAGTTACATATGTAAGGTAATGAGTACATTTCCTATCCAGCAGTTACCCCCTCCTTTGTTTTTCCCCTACCATCCTATCCCTTTCCACATCCCCCCCCTAAAGTTGTAAAGTTCATTTTCAAGGTAGTATATTGTACATCTCATTGTTACAATGGGTCAACCTGTATCCTTATTATTTTGTTATTTCAAGTTTTGAATTTATATTATATGTATACAATAACACTTGAACTTGACAGAAAGAGGAGCTACAGAATTTTCACTTTTATCAACAGGTATTATATATAAATACAAGGGACAACAAGTTTTTGTCTAGATTATCTGGCTTTTTGTCTATTGCTTTTTTGGCTTTTCACAAATAGCCATAGTATATGAAATGATACCATAAAAGATTTGTGTGAATGGTTGTGTACACACACACACACACACACACACACACACACACACACGCACACACGCACGCACACACGGCACTTTCCTAGATAGAGTTGAATCCTGGTCAGTTTACAGAACAGTAATGTTCTTGATGAGTAACATTCCTTTAACCAAGTTCAAAACCAGTGAGGAAATAAGATAAAATAGTTGAATTGATCAGAGGTCAAATATTAAGATAATTTTGGAGTATACACATTATATCAGAGACACACTTCTTTTTCTACATTTTTATTAGCATCAATTAGTTGTACAAGAGAGTTTCATTTTGATATGTCTATACATGCATACAATTTACTTGGATCAAATTCACCCTCTTTGTTCCTCTCCAGTCCTCCCCAGTTATGGTTAACAGGTAGTAGCTCTCTCAGTAAAACTAACATCACAGAGGTTAAAAAAAGTGTTCTCTCTGGGTAAGCAGATTGCCAGAAAAAGTAAAAGGGCCTGTGCTACTCATTTTTAGTTTCTCTCTTTAAACTCATGATATACCACATAACAAGGAGAAATGATACCTCTTTCTGAAAGAAATATTAGGTGCAGAGAAGAGTCCCCTCTTTCCTTCTGTGAACACCTATATTAAAATCTTTGTTTTTAATTGTAGTTATCTTAAGTATAACCTTAAAAATCAATATGATTGTCTAACTTGGCATTCTTAACACTGATGTTAAACTGGTTTCATGATTTGAGGCACATACAGAAGCTTCTGAATCAGGTTAAATGGGAAATTTTTAGAAATGTTAAGGACCAGATCCCTTAGTTAAAGAAAGAAATTGTTACACAAGGTCACAGAGTTGATTAGCAATAATTCTGGAGCTGTGTAATATACTAATATCTTAAATCTCAGTTCTTTTATTTTTGTTTAGATTAGTACTGAGACCAAAATATTGTAGGGAGGGGATAAAAATAATCCCTAGCAAGTAGAAACTGTTAGAACTGAAGAAAGAAACAGAAGTATTGATACATATATATAGTTCAATTAAATTTAATAATTATTAAGTATTGCCATTACCAAACATTATTTTAGCCCTCAAAATAGAGTGTGAGTATTCCATGAAACAGTCATGTTCTTTAGCAACACTGTTGCGCTGGTTAGTATGGGAGAAAAGTTTGGTGGATATATTACATGCAAATGCGAAGGGGCAAATGTGTTTTTTTTTTCCTGTGACTACAACATCAAGTAATAGCTATGTCCCCTTCCTAAATTTCTTCACATATAAACCAAGGAGAGAAAAGATGCATGTACAATAGGTTTAAGTTGACAGATTGTGAAATCATCTGAGGGAAAGACCTCATTTGAACAAGTATTTTCCTGGTCTATCTTGTCCATTTCTGTATTACAAGTTCATTCTTTGGTGTAAAAGATTATGGCACTGCAGCCTAGGTATATATGCTAGTAGGTAAGTTCCCAAAGTACAGGGCCCTTGCTCAGTGAAGGCACGTAAAGAAATTTGGAACAACCATTATAAAGTAGTGAAAGAGATGTCTGAAGAAAAACTAGAGAACATTTGACGTGTACATGAAAATGTATGTCCCATGGAAGAAATTGCCCATTTTAGTTGAAGGATACCAGACTGAAAGTAGAGGTGTGTTTTGATAATCGTAAGGTAAGAAAAAAATGTCTATAATCACCTAGAATTAGTTTGAAGTGTTACATGTTCCTCCTTTTAAGGTAATTTACATGGGATCTTGTTTTTCTACTATAAAATTCTAACATCACACTATGCAAGCTTATATGAACCATACAAATTTCCTGAAATTTATATTTTTATGAATACAAACTAATCAATTTTAGGGTTTATATCCTAACTTCTTGCATGTCACTGTCATTGAAACTTGCATGGAAAGCACTAACTACCTTCTTTCTCTTCTCCCTGATTTGCACCAAGGCTGCCAGACAGATCAAGGATAGGTATGGTATAAACCTATATTTTTATTTAAGTGTTGATATTGAAGTCAGAAATGAAATTCAGAAAGTTTTTTTTATAGAACACATAATTGCCAAATTAAAAAATGTCCTCTGTATATTTTCTGAAAATAATCAGGAAGACTTATGAAACCATGTTCTTAAAGAACATAGTTGTGGACAATTTGTATTCCAAAAGAATTTCATTTCTGGTAATAATGTAGTTAGTTTTAGTATTAGAATAGTTCTTAATTAGTTATGCTAATGGAAAGGGAACTATTTTAGATAATTTAAAAACATGTTCTTAGATTGCATTCTTTTGTGTCCTTAAATTTAAATGTGATTTTTATTTTTTGAGAAATCACAGTATTTTAGACTGTCTCCAAGACTTAAAGCTGTCCTAGTCACTGCTCTTCTGTTTAACATCTTTGTATTCTCATTCTGTCCGGTTCCTGGTGCCATCTCTTTCTATTTCCAATGCCACCACTATCGATTTCACTTGGTGGAAAAAGAAAATTAGTAGATTTTAACTTTGAAGGTGTTTGTCATAAGTGCAGTGAGGAGTGAAAAAGGAATTCAGCACTTGCTAGGGTGGATTCATAGGTCAGAGCCTTAAAGGAGTATCCAGCCATAGTTGCATTACTTAAGGCAGGAGGAACAATTTGATCTGCCTGACCATTACTGAGAACTGTTGATAGTGAGATTATAACTTACAATCTAATTTTTTTTTTTAATTTGACGAGCATAGGTTTCTCTGAAGGGCACAGCTCTTCAAGCACTACTATGAATCCTAGGTTATCTTTGATTAGAAAATTGTTGGGAATAGTCAATATGGATGTGTGACCAATGTCTGTTAATTTTGGCAGAAAATTTTGATTCTTTCATGGTTTTTTATTTGATGACAGACAAAGATTTGCATACTAGGTAAAGCATTCTTAGCACAATATTAATTTCTACATTTAGTATACACTTAGTATTAGGCAGTTGTTAAACATGTGGATTGTTCTTCTAAGTTTCCTTGTTTTTTTTTTAAGAGATAAATTCTCAAAATATTGGCTATCCTGGTCTTGAACTCCTGGATTCAAACATTCCTCCTTTCTCAGTTCTTAATAGCTAGACAACAAGTGCAAACTTTTCTGCCCACTGTGATCATTAGAATTTGAAGGTGAAGCATATTGTTTACATGAAGAATAGATAGATGCTAGTTAAACCAGTATTTTGATGAGGTAGATTTGGGATATGCCTGCTAAAAGTTGCTGGGAGCATCTACCACTCTTGAGATTAATCTTCTGATTAGCTACTATTCTTTTACCATTGTTCCTGATTTTTTGGTTTAGAAATCAATTCCTAACCAGGTTTGGAGATAACCTTATTAAAGACTTTGCAAAGTCTTACTTTCATTTCAAGATTCTGTATAGCTCTGTGCTTCCCATATTACTGTCCTACTCTAGACCTCATTGTTCAGTTTGTTTCACAGAATTCAATTTTAATGCCAGCTTTCACGACTATTCACTGAAACCTGACTTCTTTGCCTCCTCTTCTAAGCTGTCCTCTTAACTTGATTCCATTAGCATCCAGATTATCTCAGGAGTCAAACTTCCTTAAGTCCATGCTTTTCATTTTTTCAAAGTTTTTTTGTCTCTCCTCCACCTGCTAAATATTTGCTGCCTGTAAGAGGAGTTTTTTCTAGGTCTTAAAGTTTTAAACTTGATTTTTAGCTTTATGATGCCCAGGTTTCTCGGGTGTAGTTTCTCTTCTCCCCAGAAGTAAGTTTGTAAAATCCCATTTCTTTTTCCAATATCAAAAATAATTTAAGAATATAGTCATAATAACTTTTTACTAAGAAAGGATTATTTTCTTAAATCAAGACATGGATTTTAGGCCAGGCACCGGTGGCTCATGCCTGTAATCCTAGCTACTGAGGAGGCTGAGATCTGAGGATTGTGGTTCAGAACCAGCCTGGGCAGGAAAGTCCGTGAGACTCTTATCTCCAATAAACCACTAGAAAACCAGAAGTTGCACTGTGGCTTAAGTAGTAGAGCACTCACCTTGATTTGAAGAGCACAGAGATAGCGCCCAAGCCCAGAGTTCAAGCCCCATGACCGACAAAAAAAAAAAAAAAAAAGACATGGATTTTAAAGGAGAGTGTATAAAATTGAGCAGATAATCAAATACAAAAAATGAATATATATATAAATATATGAAAACTTACCATTTCCTGTGATAGAATATAGGCAAAAAAATAACAGGAATGAGAGATTAGATTGGCTGGATACCAGTAGTAATCCTAGCTACTCAGAAGGCTGAGATCTGAGGATAACAGTACAAAGCCAGCCTAAGTAGACAAATCTGAGAAACTCTTATCTCCAGTTAATGACCAAAAATAACAGAAGTGGAGGTGTGGGTCAAGTGGTAGAGCATCAGCCTTGAGCTGGGAGAAAAATCTAATAAGCAAGAATGCAAATTCCTTAGTTCAAGCCCCAGTATAGCACCACAAAAAAGGAAATGAGAAGATATTATACAGCACATCCTTAGAACCTTGAAAATCACTGCTGTAAGATTGAGTTGAGGCAAATTATTGGTTCTTGAAAGAAAGAATAATGAAATTAGTTTAAGGAAATTAAATGTGTTCATATGTTTCATATTTATTTTTTCTTCACAAAAATAAAATTAGAAGAAATCCTTTGATTCAGCTAGAAGTGTTAGAATAAACTGAGACTATAAAAGTGAATTAAAGCATAACTAACTACATGGATCTGTTTAGAGAATATCTGTTTCAGATTTTCAGTTTGGGTTTTGAGCCACATTTGTCTCATCATACCTAGATTAAAATGAACTTTCAATTTTTTGGAAAACTATACTGTGTGTATCTGAATTGATTCATATTAAGTTGTAAGTTTTCATTTTGACTAGAAATTAGTCTTATTTTTAGGCTTTGATAAACCTTTCTAATGCATTTTTGAGAGACATCCTTTTTTGTGTGTTCATAGTGATTTATAGATTTCAGAGTTAAAATTATCTAAAATATATTCCTCAGCATTTCTCATTAACTAATTAGGTTCTCAGGATTAGGTACGAACCCATTTACTGATTCAGTGATTGTTTCTTAAATATCTATGTGGATATAGCTTATTAAGAAGTCTTCAAGATAGCCGGGGCTCTGGAGGCTCACCCATGTAATCCTACCTACTCAGGAGGCTAAGATCTGAGGATTGTGATTCAAAGCCAGCCTGGGCAAGAAGCCCCCATGAGACTCTATCTCCAATGAACCATCAGAAGACTGGAAGTGGCATTGTGGCTCAAAGTGGTAGAGTGCTGGCCTTGAGGGGAAGAGCTCAGGGATAGGGCCCACACCTTGAGTTCAAGCCCCATGACTGACAAAGAAAAGTCCTCAAAATACATGGAACTATAGAGAACAACGTATGTCAGATTTAGCTTTTATTTCTAGCTTCTTATTTGCATTATTTTATTTTATTCTGTTTGTCTTTTTTTATTTTTATTTTTTGGGTTTGATAGTGGGGCCTGAACTCTGGGCCTGGGTGCTGTCCCTCAGCTCTTCAGCTCAAGGTTAGTGCTCTACCACTTGAGCCACAGCGCCACTTCCGGCTTTTCATTTTGCTTATGTGGTGCTGAGGAATCGAACCCAGGGCCTCATGCATGCAAGGCAAGCGCTCTACCACTGAGCCACCTTCCCAGCCCATTGTTTGTCTTTTTTTTTGAGAACCAGCAGCTTAATGTAGTATGTATAATACTGAGTTTTATGTTTGGCATATAGTAACTTTCCAGTCAGTGTGAGTTCTCTTTCTCATACAGTATATTTCAACATACAGTGATCCCTAACCTATCTTGGGAGTTAGGCCACAGAGACCCTGCATAGGTGCAATCTGTTACGTAGCAGCATTGTATAGCTATCCCTCACTATATTGCGGTTCACTTACTACTACTTAGCGAATTTTCACCAATTGTGGGGGTCTCTGGAACATAGCTTCCACAAGAGGTGAGGGATCACTTTCTTTTTTTGGGGGGGGCGTCTGGTCGTGGGGCCTGAACTCTGGGTCTGGGTGCTGTCCCTCAGCTCTTCAGCTTAAGGCTAGCGCTCTACCACTTGAGCCACAGCGCCACTTCCGGCTTTTTTCTTATGTGGTGCTGAGGAATCGAACCCAGGGCCTCAGGCATGCACGGCAAGCGCTCTATCACTGAGCCAACTTCCCAGCCCCGAGGTGAGGGATCACTGTTGACCTATATATTTTTTTAACCTACAATACAGTGAAGCCACAATAAGCAAACCACAATATAACAACTACTTTCTTCTGGATAAAATAAATCATATATTAGTTGGTTACTCATTGTTACTATTAAAAGTTATTTTCCTAGTTTTAAAATGAAGTAAAATAACAGAATATACTGTTTGACATTTTTCGTTCTATAATAAGTGAATTCAGCAAGCATGACGTCTTTAATACCATTATTCCTTGCTTGATGTGGCAGACTGTGGTGACTAGGGCTGGGTTTGCTTTGTCCCTCTCACTGTTGTTTACTTCCTCTCAGCTTGCATGCTAGGAGGACAGCATCCATGATTAGAACTCTTGTATCATTGGCCAAAGAAGGAACTTGGTAATAATGGTGGAAACTTTCTATAAAGTGAAAAATTGAGATTTGAGATAAAATTCAGATTAATAGGACAAGAGTTTCTTTTGACCTCCAGTTTTAATAGAGAACTGCTTCCTGTACTTTTGATAAAGTAAGGTATGATTTGTTTTCATCTTTGTTTTGATTTTTACTTTACATGCACATCATACATTTTTATTGAACTATATTTTCTAGAACACAGCTTTCTCATAACATCTCTCCATGTAGCTGATGTAGATAGATCAGAATGATGTCATCTTGCTAGTGTCAATACTGACCACAATTTTAGTTCTTTTCTACCCCATCCTTTCTTTAATAGGAACTGTAGTATAAATGTTGGGCCCATCTTCCTCTGTTCTTGTTGAGGTCACATGGTATAGCTATGACTATTAGAGAGGATGTGTGAGTTAGATTTCATTACAGTTCATTATTTGGCATATGAAAAGGAGTGAGGCTGGCATCAGGAAGTCAGTGAGACTGAGTGTGCAGAGATTCAGATAAATGTTGGGTCTGGCAAAGATGATTTAAATATTGAACTTTTGTTTCTTGTGATTTTGCATACATATGCAGTTTTATAAAAGTGGCTGGAATTGCTAAGTTGTTAAATTTCTTTTAGTAGAATTTTTAAAAGAAAAAGCAAACTTCTTTGTTTATGTTCGTTATAGACTCTGAAATCATTAAAGTGAAAGAATTTTTATCTCTTATTTTATAAATTAAATAAGATTTTATATTTCCATTCATTTATTTTTAAAAAAGTATATTTGTGTTTACCATAGAGTCACAATGGCTTCAGCCTTTCGCCTTTCTTTGAAACCAAGGGTCAGTGACAACATGACTCATTTAATGGTGGATTTCTCTCAGGAAAGACAGATGCTGCAAACTTTGAAGTTTTTGCCAGGTAAATACATGTGTTACATGTACAGCTTTGGATAAAACTTTTTCCTGAAAGATTTTTCTCTAATGCACATTGGCATGTAACTAGCGAAGAGAGAGAGAGAGAGGAGAGAGAGAGAATGTGTGTGTGTGTGAGAGAGAGTATAGTGTGTATGTGTATGTGTGTTTTCCTGCATTAAAGAATAGCTTTAGGAGCTAGTTCTTTTTATAGATAATTATTTTTATTGATAGAAAAACTCCCTTTTAAATACATTTTTAGTTGTAAAGATGCTGTACAGAGGGGTTACAGTTATATGAGGACATTTCTTATCAAACTTGTTACCCCCTCCTTGGTTTTTCCCCTACCATCTGTTCCCTCCCCACCTCCTCAATTCCTCCCTCTCCCTCCCCCCCCAAAGTTGTAAAGTTCGTTTTCAATATAGTGTCTTGTACATCTCCTGTACACAGGTCAACCTATATCCTTATTTCAATATTTTGTTCACTTCCCCTCCCCAAATTAGAAAAATGTATATACAAGATTCAAGGCACCAGAATCAAATACAGTGAAAAACAGGGATTATACCATGGGTGAAAAACATACAAAACAAACTTCTCTTTTAAGAGTGCCATTAAGGGATGTTATTTATTGCGACTTTGTCAAAGAGAAGCAGTATAGTATGATGGTTAATGATAGGCCTAGAGCATTGATTTAGATTTGAATTTTGCTGCTTGATTGATTGCTATATTATTTGGAATAAGTTACTTTTCCCCATTTTCTTCACCTTTAAAATGTTACAATATATTTGTAGGATGTCTATTAGGATTAAGTGAATTGATTCTTCTTGTGTGTGTGCCGGTATTGGGGCTTGAACTCAGGGCTTGGAACTCTTACTTGGAGTTGCTCTACCATTGAGCCACAGCTCCACTTTTGGCTTTTTGGTGGTTAATGGGACATAAAAGTCTCATTTTTCTTTCTCGGCTGGCTTTATAAACCACACCTATCCCAGCCTCCTCAGTAGCTAGGATTATAGGCATGAGTTACTGGCACCTGACATGAATGGACGCTTCTAAGGTATTTGCAGTAGTATCTGGCACATAGTTAATATTCAGTGAATATTAGCTGTTATTATTTTTGTGGATTTGGGAACTAAGATTAATAATTATATGTTAATATACCATTAACATGATGTGTTATATCAACATCATATATAAATATTGTATGTTAACAATGATATGCTAACATTGACTTATTAGTGTTTAATGTTAGGATGCTGAAGTAGCCTGAGTCCCAAATTATTATCTAGGTATGTGAAAGAGTCAGTTAAGGATATTTTAGTTAATATTTTTTGTCACCAAGAAATATTGTTAAATTGATAGGTAAAACTGTGTGGATATGCTGATTTGTGGAACTAGAATGGTTGAAAGTGGCATTTTACTTACAAGTATTTTTTTTAAGATGAACCATTCTTGAATAAAGAGTGTTGAAGGGCTTGCCTGTGAATGTGGCTTAGTGGTAGAGTGCTTGTCTAGCATGCATGAAGCCCCAGGTTCAATTCTCCAGTAAAACAGAAACAGAAAAAGCCAGAAGTAGTGCTGTGGCTCCAGTGCTAGAGTGCTAGCCTTGATTGAGCAAAAGAAGCTCAGGGACAATGCCCAGGCCCTGACACACACACACACACACACACACACACACACACAGTGTTGATGCCCAGGCCCTGACACACACACACACACACACACACACACACACAGTGTTGATGCCCAGGCCCTGACACACACACACACACACACACACACAGTGTTGATGCCCAGGCCCTGATACACACACACACACACACACACACACACACACACATAGTGTTGGAAGATATAAAACCAGTCATTTCTTCTTTGCATAATCAGGGACTGTACAGTAGGATTGTAAGATTAGGTTATTAGTCATAAAAATATAATGTAACCCAGTAAGGGCAGCACAAGTATTAAGTATTAACTTGTGTGATAATGATTAGAAATTCCAGAAGAATTTCTATAGAAGGAAGAGATGAGTGAAGGAAGTGTACTTGACAATGGATGCTAGCCTATATATTAGCCTTTCAGGATAACAGATGGTCCTTGATTTATCTTCCTAGGATGATTGTAAACAGTAGTATCATATATTATTATGCTAATAATAAGTGACAGCAAGCCATGGGCAGCTTCCAGTCGGCTTCATGGTTATGAACGTAAAGTCATTGCTGTATAGTACAGTGCAGTACAAGGCTAAGCTATAATGGTGTGTGTGTTAGTATGTGTTTTCAAGTTTTTTTAAATTTTATTTTATTGTAAAGTTGATATAAAGTTAAGGTTACATAGGTAAGGTAATGAGTACATTTCTTTTAGAACAGTGTTATGTCCCCTCGATTTCTCCCACTTTACTTTCCCTTTCATCCCTCTCCCCCCAAGTTGTAAAGTTCATTTCCAGCATAGTGTCTTGTGAGTATCACTGTTGCATTGGTTCACCCTTTGTCCTTTATCTCACCATTTTGTTGTTCCCCTTCCTTCACCAAATCAGATAAACGTATATACAAGACACAGGATACCAAAATATAAAAAACAGTGACAACAGAGGATAAACCAAAGGGGAAAGGAAAGAAAGAAAAAAGAAAGAACTTCACACAGTACATTTAAAAAACTCGTTTCCTTATCCTGGAATTCATTTCTATTAGCATCATTTTATATGGTCATTTGTACATAGCTATTGAGTTACTATGATCCTCTGCTAGGAGTATCCTAGACATATACTAATTATTACAAATGAGGAAACCATGGAGCCTATGTTTTTTGGGTCTGTCTTCAAATTTTAATTGGATTAATGTGATAAAACTCGATTATGAATTGTAGAACACCTACACTGTATAGAAAACCCTTGAGGAAAAACCTTTTGAACCCTCAGGAGTCATAGAGTATAGTACTGTACTATAGATGTTTGATTTTCTTTTCCCTTAATACCATCCAGCTTCTATGAAGACATGAGGTATTCAATAAAGCACTTAAATTAAGAACATTAATATTTACCTTGCTTTATGTAAGATATATTTTTACAAAATTAAGGGCAAGTAAACACTCCACAGATCACACAGTGATCTGAACACAAACTAATGGTAATTTGTACTCAGAGCTCTGCATCAACAGAGCAACAAAATGTGGGTACAGGAATTAAACATTTTTGTTTTAGAAATTTTGTTTGTTTGTGAATGGTCCTGATTGATCAGAACATGTGTAATAAACCCATAAATAAGGCCAGCTTACTGTATTTTTATTCACAGGACACTTGTTAAATGTGAAATTGCTATTACAGGTGTGAAATAAACATTTTTACAAGTTTTTTTTTACAATACCAATTTAAAATGGTTAGATTAGTTTAATCTGGCATTGAGAATTTTGAATGTCAGGCTAGATTTTATTTAAGTTTTAAAAAACATTGTAAGTATTTGTACAGAGTAGTTGCCATTCAACAAAGCAGTTTATTAATGCATCTTGATCAATGCCTCCCCTTCATCATCCTTCCTCATCCCTCCCAATAAAATCCTTCTGATTATTGTTTTTTTTTTTTTTTTGTCGGTCGTGGGGCTTGAACTCTGGGCCTGGGCACTGTCCCTCAGCTCTTCAGCTCAAGGCTGAGTGCTCTACCACTTGAGCTACAGCGCCACTTCCGGTTTTCTGGTGGTTTATTGGAGATAGGAGTCTCACAGTCTCTCCTGCCCGGGCTGGCTTTGAACCGTGATCCTCAGATCTCAGCCTCCTGAGTAGCTAGGATTACAGGCGTGAGCCACCAGCGCCTGGCTGATTATTGTTAACTGAGGGTTTATTCTCAGTAAAGCACTTGAATGTTCACTTGAGGGATTATAGTATTATACTTAGTACTTTCACTGCCATAAAAGTCCTCTTTGCTTGATTCTTCAGCTGTCTCTCCCTCTCAACCCCTGGTAACTATTGTTCTTCTCACCCTCATAGTTTTTTCTTTTCCAGAAGATCATAGAGTTGAAATGATTGAACTAGAAGCCTTTTCACTCTTTAACCTAGCTATATACATTGATGTTCCTCCTTGTCTTTTCACAGCTTGATAGCTTATTTCTTATCGCTGAAAAACAGCCATAGTTTATTTGTACACCCACCTACTGAAGGACAACTTGGTCTTTTCTAAGTTTGGGCAACATTGAGTACAGCTGCTCAAAACATCTTTGGTACAGGATTTGTGTGGGCATAATTTTTAGTTCCTTTGGGCAAATACCAAGGAATGCATCAGCTGGATAGTTTGGTAAGAGTAAATTTTGTAGGAAAGCTTCAAACGTTCGAAGTATCTATATAATTTTGAATTACTAGTAGCAATAAATGAAAGTTCTGGTTGCTCCATTTTTTTTTGTCAGCATTGGTATGGTAATACTATTTGGTTTTTGTTTTGATTTGTATTGCCCTTGTGCCACATGAAGTGGAGAATCTTTTCATAGACTTATGTTGCAAACTGTAGATCTTCTCTGATGAGATGTCTGTTAAGGACTTTCACCTTCTTATTGAGTTACTTATTTTTTATTTTTTAATTTTAAGAATTCTTTGCCGGGCGCCGGTGGCTCATGCCTGTAATCTCAGGAGGCTGAGATCTGAATCGCAGATTCGCCAACCTGGGCAGGAAAGTCCTTGAGACTCTTATCTCCAATAAACCACTAGAAAACCAGAAATGGCACTGTGGCTCGAGTGGTAGAGTGCTCATCTTGAGCTGAAGAGTGCAGGAACAGCACCCAAGCCCAGAGTAAAAATGTTCTGTCAGTGACTTGTCTTTTCATTCTCTTTATAAATGTCTTTCACAGAGCAAATTTTTAATTTTGATTGTTTTGTTTTTGATTAGGGTCTCATTGTGTGACCCAGGTTGCTCTTGAACTTGTTTGTAGACTTGGACTGCCCTCTTGAATACCCAATCCTCCTGTCTCAGCCTCTCAAATGCTGGGATTTCAGGTGTTCATATTATGCCAGGCTCTAGACCTTTTAATT